CAGACTATGCCTTCGCAGAGTTTAGGTTCTTGAAGCGACTGTTGGTTGTGCATGGACGATACAGTTCTATGCGACTTTCAAACATGATGTTATACAGTTTCTACAAGAACTTGGCGTTTATTACTGTACAGGTGCTGTTTGGATTTTACAGTACATGGTGTGGAGCGGTGAGTCTGCTTTTATAACGTTTTGACGATCAAAAAACTGAATACTGCTCCCAGCTCATCTATGAAGAATTTTTCATGACTTGGTTCAACTTGTTCTATACCTCTCTACCGCCTCTTTTGCTTGGAATCTTTGAAAAGGATGTTTCTGATGAAGTTGCCGAAAAATATCCCCAGCTCTACATGCAATGTAGGGACGGTTTGTACTGGAACTGGACACTATTTGTTGGAGTTTTGTTGGACTCTATCTGGCATTCTCTCGGTATTTTCGTTTCTTTGGACGGTTGTTGTTTTGCTCACGGTCTTCTCTTTCTATTAGCCGTCTTCTTTGGAATGTACTTTGCGATTGGTGACTCTGATATCGGTACAAACGGACGCGGCATTGGATATTGGATGCTCTGCTTCATCGCCTCGAACGTGATTGTACTTGTCGTCATCTCAAAGATTTGCCTCATTACACACCACTGGGTTTGGCTCACTTGGTTTATGTTGGGTTTCAGCGCTATTATATTTGTGGGTGGAGCCATTATCATTGAGTCGATCGGATACGGAAGTGTGACAGGTACCTACTTGGAGTCATATTCATGCCCGACATTCTGGATTCTTTTGCCGATTATCACTGCCATGTGTGTGATTCCTTCAATTGCCGTCATGTAGTAAGTAGCTTTGGATTGAATTTTACTGCAGTGGTTGATAATTTTGTATCGCAGCGCGAGAAGAACCATCTGGCCATCTGATGCTGACATTGCTGTCGAGAATATGAAACTCAACAAAAAGACTGGAGCTGAAGAGGCAGAGATTGAGATGGCAGAAGTGAGCCCAGCCTTCAGAAACAGTGCCTGATAGTTTATAACCTGTTACTCATTTTACTTGTTTGTTTTTCTTTTTCTTTACTCTTAGATGGGGAAGTGATACTTAGTTGAATTATAACCATTTTGCACCATTTTGCAAATGAATCTGTGTGAATCATTTTGAAGGGACGGGAGACTTGATTGGAACTCTGCCCCAAAACACTCATCACATCTTATGTCATTTACCCCGTCATCGCCGTATCTACCCATTCTTCAGCCTGTCAATCATGCATCTTTGATACCAATTTTGCGATCAGCTTACACGGCCGTCAGCGATGCCGTGTTGGTTGTCCTGCCCAGTGCCACTCAATATGACAAACGGGCGATGGACGCCACAATACTTCTCGCCAATTCTTCAGCAATTGATCTTCTTGGATTCAACGTATCCGATGCTCTCCAACGGGCGATTGAGGGCATATCCATTCGGTCTGTCCTTTATGAAATGCCAGCCGTGGAAACTACAGCCCATAGATACCCGCCCGTCGATATCACGTCTATTGTATCCAAGTTTGATGATTTCAAAGCCCGGAGTGTGCCAGATGCGATGCAAACTGTAAAAGTGAAATTACGTGCCAAACCTGCTGCGGGGAAATCATTTCCCGTTGATGTCACTATATCTCAACTGGCATTAGATGCTCTAGTTGGCGGAGATGAAGAGAGACGGAGATGTCCGTTAGTTTTGACGTTGAAACGAAGCAGCATCCAAAGTTTAGCTGTTCCCGTTGACTCAAAAAGGAACCCAAGTCCAGAACTTCAGCAACAACCTTGCGGAACATATTCTCGATATAAGGCAGAGTTTGAAGAGCTGTCGTGTTTAGGAAAAGGCGGATTTGGGATCGTGTTTCGTGCTAGAAATCGATTGGATGGGATTGAATATGCCATCAAGAAAGTGAAGCTTTCCTGTACACCTGTTCAATTTTCATTATTTGCCTCGGCTCCAGACACTGTATCTAGTGGATCTGTAAAGAGTTCTTTCACTGCTCCAAGCTCTTTGCTGTCTACAACTCCAGGCAGTGTCTCTATGCATGACGCGCGATTACTCAACGAAATCAAGTTATTCGCAAGGTATTAATATGATGCGACTCTGTTTTGCTGCTTACAAATTCATTTTAGATTATCGCAACATCCAAATGTTGTTAGCTATCATACTGCATGGATTGAATCTGAACCTGAGAAGCCATGTCACCAAAGCAAAAGGAACCCCCAGTTTCGGCTGCCTTTATTACTCCCAAAAATAAAATCCCGGGCTTGAGCTTAAATGTCAACGGAGCCAGTGGTCCACCTTCTGTAACTTCTCAGCTCAGTGCCAGCCTTAAATCTGCGAACCTGGATGGTACTGCTCCGTCAAGGCCGTCACCTCAGCAAGAATACATTCTCTTTAGACCGCCTCACAGCTATCTATGAACGCTAGTATTTCAAATGCATCAAGTTTCGGCCGCCGACAGTTTTCGACGAGTAATGATGAAGAGATATGATTGAATTCACTGCAAGTGGATCTTCGCGGTCTTCGAAAGCATCATCACATCAAAGTGAAACAAGTGATGATAGTGAGAGTGAAGATAGTGACGGTGAAGACTTGAAAAGGTTTATGTGGAGGGTGGAAAGGCGTCAGCTGTCAATATTAAAACTGATCGTGGTCTGCCATCGCGTGGTTCTGGAAAGTTGTCCGCTAGCTTGCCAATACACTTCGGCAGGTCTTCACGTCTCTATCTTCTGAAACTGCAACTGGCGAGAGCGATGCAGAAACATTCAAGGTATCACGTTTGACAAACTTTGGACGATTGGGTTCCGAATTGTCTTTAATTTCTGGTGCATCTCGCCTGTCTTCTGTAATATCTGAGAAATCTAGTGATAGTGAAGAAGAAAATGAATCTGATTTGATCACTGAGTCATCTGTTGAAAATCCTGGTGGTACAAAGCAGCATCAAGCCACTCTATATATCCAAATGCAGGTATGTAAAATGAGTCTGTTATTCAAACACTTACGGTTTCTGCCTCAGCTTTGTCCCTACATGGACTTACGCACTTTCATCAACAAGCGACGTTCAAATCCATCGATGACTTCCAAAAGCTCCATTCGCCCAAGCATCCCGGTAAAGAATCAAGATTCGCACATGTTTTTAGTGGATGATTTGGAAGGACCAAAATTATTTGAGGATTACGATGACACGGAGGAAGAGAACAATCCAACGCGTACAATCAATCTCTATTTGTTCAAGCAAATCGTTGAAGGTCTCATGCATATTCATGAGCAACATGTTGTCGTGAGTCTGTGTATTTTGCCGTTTCATATATCTGAACCTATATTTAGCATCGAGACATCAAACCAGACAACATTTTCGTTCAAGAAAACTATAATGTACTAGTCGGAGACTTTGGCTTAGCGAAAAGTTTGGCTAGTCATGCAGTGAATAATCTCGCTGATTCTCCTGAACCGGAAACTGACGAGACAGGGACTGCGAGTACGGACGAAGGAACATTTTTCTATATGGCCCCAGAACTGTTGGACCAACACATTTACACTGCCAAGAGTGACATTTACTCTTTAGGCATCATTCTACTCGAATTATTCCACCCATTTTCCACAGAAATGGAGAGAATCATGTTGTTAACCGAATTGAAGAAGAATCCACTATCTTTGGCGCATTTCTGCTCTGCTTCAGGAATGCCGAGCGATGTATCACACCTTCTGTCTCGTTTACTCTCTGTCGACCCTTCAAAACGCCCGTCAGCTATGGAAATTATTCTAGATCCTCTTTTTGATAACTTTGCGTCTCAGCAACTGGGTATTCGATCTCCGTTAGCAACGTCGCCGAATCACAGTGTCTCTTTGAATACGAACTCATTCCTGTCAATGCGAAGACCTTCTTCCAGCTTTACTCTGCGTCCAGGATCCATGCGGTCCGATCATCTACATCTCCGTCAACGTGCATCGTCCACAACCATCACTGGAAATTTTGCTCACCGGTCTTCCTCAGGCAGTCCGTCCGACCCTATCGGGAGTGGTGTTGCGTCGTTTATTGGCCCTCGGTCTTTACCCTCGTATAAATTTCCTGCTCATACCACAGAAGATGATGATGAGTCGAGCATGTCAACCTCCAGTAAGCCACCTTACGTTCCGCATCCTAGATCCAGCAGTTTTGATCTATCAAACGGTAACGACACTGTTGAACTGATTGGGCTAGGTGAAAGTATACACGAGGGAATGGAGAAGAAGGAGGAAGCCCCAAAACAAACAAACGCGTTTGCACAGCTTTGGGGAATGATAAAAAATGTGACGAAACCAAAAAGTGGAAGCAGTAATGAAGGCCTAGGAAGTGCAGGGTTGGTGGAATCACCGGTTCCTGAAGATGCCATTGATCCCGCACCTTCTCAGAAGCCTCACATGATTCGACACAGCGACTCGATACGCTCCTTGTCGTCTGTTCTCTCACAAAAGACAATGGAAAAATATGGTGGAGTGGCTTTAGGGGCTGATTCGGGCCTTGTTAAACCGCAGACACTGAAGCACAAATCAAGTCAAATGGATTCAAGGAGGCAAAATTCGGATGGATTCTCGCTTAGCACAACTTCGACAATGATTGGATCGTCTCCAACAACCTCCCTTGTCCAAACATCTTGCATTAAGCCCAAAGCCACCCGTGACCGAATGCTCTCTGCACCTGCACCTTTTTCCGATGCTGTTAATGAAACTGAAGGGAAGGACACGCGGATTATGGAATTGGAAAATGACGTCAGCCTGCTGCTGGAACAGCTTCTGGCGTTGAAGGAGAAGAATTTAGAAATGGAGGCTAAACTTGCATCAAAAGAGGAGGTGTTGGCAGTGCAGATGAGAAGGACTGATTTTATTATACTTGCCATAATATGATCTTGCATTAATCTTTGCTTAATAATGATGTTAATAGTCTTAAAAGTTGTGGAAAGGTAAAAATGTAGGTGTAAGAAAAAATAGATTTTATAAAGGTATTTGCCTTACGCTTTTACAAGCACCGTAGATCAGCGGAAGATCGCTGGGCTCATAACTCAGAGGTCGGAGGATCGAAACCTCCCGGTGCTAGTTTTGTTGAAAAGAAAACATTTGTCTCAAGTAAAATTGCCTATTACTCCGTCTGTTTTGCTTCCTTCCAACTTGATGGTCGATTGCATTGAAAATAGTAAAAATAAACGATAAGAATAGTTCACTTCGGGTAAATGATTTATTCATTGCAAATCGAAACAGTTAAATGCTGTGTTGAATGCATGTAAGGTGGGTAATTGTTCAAGCTCAATGGGAATCACGCCGTTGAGTTTGTTGGAATCAAGACGAAGGCATTCAAGACTGCTCATCCTTCCAAGTTCTCTCGGTATTGAACCTTCCAGCTTATTCTGATTGAGTAGTAAATATACCAAAGACTGCAAATTCCCAAGAGAGGGAGGGATTTGGCCTGACAACCTTTTTTCTTGAAGGCTCAAAAGACAAGGTTCGTCAATAATCCCAATTCAGCAGGTATCGGGCCTGAAGTGGTTTCCGAGAGCATCAGTTGTTTTAGCGACGGATACGTCCCAGCTCTGGTGGTATAATGCCCACCAAGCTTCCATTGGTCAGTCGAAGTTGAACCAGATTCTGGAAGAGCATGATCTGAGCGGGTATTTGTCCAACCACAGTTATCTTTCCGTTGAAAGCTATATTTTGATACCTTGGACCTTCAAGTGTTTGGAACAGTACACTTGACGATATGAACTTGGCCACCTGAACCACTTCGTGCTGTCCGTCCTCAAGATGGAACGAGGAAGAAATCGGCCAAGGTTTAGTTGAGCAAAGTGGGTTGAGGTGAGGATAGAATCAAAGAGTTTACAGAGGCGGCGATAGTAAAGCACAGAACGATGCTTGCGCCCAAAGAATGTCAACGGCGCAGTAGCTAGTTGGGGTTCAATCCAGGAGAAGGCCTGCTCAAGTATCTCGGTAGGAACGGTGATGTTGCCAAGATTCATTGAGTCTTGATGAGCTTTTTGTGGTTGAGTAGACTTTATCAATCCTCTCAAAATTAACTGTAAGTTTTATGTTTCAGATAAAATCGATTCTTCTTTATCTTTACGATTGATGGTCGAAGTTTCAAAATGTTAGTATTCTTCTCCATCGGCAGATTGTTATTGATGGTTTTCTATCGTGTAATTGTCAGGACAAACGTCCCGCCCTGTTTATCGACTACAAAACAAACTCTTTCACCTCTTCCTCCTCTCACAAAAACATTCTCCAAACCAGCTCTGGTCTCATCCTCTCTTCCAAGATCAAGTACCACTTCCACCACTTGTCAGATCCAGACCTCATAGTCATGCTCTTTTGTCATGGAATCAGCATCAGCATCAAACGACGCGTCATCAAATGAAAGCTCTAACTACATCCCCATATTCCAGCCGTGGTTTCCCCAATGATGCAGACTCGCGGTTATGATGGCCAGAGTATCTGCTAGGGTATCATGCCGCGCCGAGAGGGTGCAAGACACTCGCGTGCTGGTATGTAAAAACAAGTCATCTGTGAAGGGGGGTTGTCTCGGCACCTTACTGGATCCTCTTTGACTTGACCGCGAGCTCTTCAAACAAAACAGCAGCTTGGAACATGAAATCGCGCAAATTGGAAGGACGCGACAGCAGCTCTATATTCCCCCTTTTTTTCCAGCCGTGGCTCCCCGTTAATGTAGCCTCCCGGTTATTATGACCAGAGGATCTGCCTAGGGTACCATGCCACACCGAGAGGGTGACTAGACACTCGTGTGCGGGCATGTAAAAACAAGGGGTATGTTGATTTGGGGTATCGGTTCGCTGTTCTCCTCTTTGGCCTCTGCCTCCCCTTGACCACGAGCTCTTCAAACGAACAGCAACACTAGACGGAGGACGCGTTCTTTATCTTCGTTTGGCTGCTGTCGTCAATATAATAAATTCATATTTGTCATCTTCTCCCGTTTCTGCACATGGATGATAAAACCAGTACAAGTGAATTGGTAATTTGACTGGGAAATCTGAAAGAAGTTTTATAATATTCACTCCTAATATTTGAGATAAACCAAAAATAAAACCTAGCACCGGGAGGTTTCGATCCTCCGACCTCTGAGTTATGAGCCCAGCGATCTTCCGCTGATCTACGGTGCTTGGTAGAACTTAGAAATAGTGCTTATGAATGATATTTTTTCATTCAACATCGAGGAGCGTTTGAGTGCCTGTACTGAATGCACCATCGTATTAATCAATTAGACGAAAAGGAACATCTCTTTTGAAGTATTAATCCACATACTGAACAAGAATCCTTATTTAGTGTTTTGTGATTAAACCTTGATCCAACCAACCAATGTCGCGGCGTCTCTCCCGCAACGACCTCGAGCTCCTGAGTGCCGCCGTGAAGCCGCGCAAGCTGAGTGCGCCGGTCGTGTCTTCGATGGGCGTGGCAGAGACCGGCGACAAAGTGGACACGATCTGGGACGAGGACGACCTGGAACTGCTCAAGGCCGCCCACGTTCTCGCGGCGGCGGCCTCGCAACTGTTTCCGAAAGAGGCGTCGGACGAGGTGCAGCCACCAGTCAAGTCGCTGATTGGCCAGTGGGAACAGCGCGCGAAGGACCCGAATGTGAAGAGTAGTGTTGGACCGGAGGAGGATGCTACTACGACTACAAGTACTAGCTAGTACTAGTGCTCCAGTTGTACACAGAAACAGAAGGCAGAAGAGCAGGCTGTCGGTCAGGCAGAGTGTGCTGCTCAAGAAGGCACTAAGAACATTGGAACTTTGAACCCGACGCACAAGGAAGACTTTAGTGCCCTTGCTTCAGTCATTGTTAGTGGCGCTGCGGTGGAAGCAAAAGAAGTAGGGACTGTGGCGGAGGCAGCAGAGGAAGATGGCGACGAAGTTGTTGTGGTGGAAGACTCTGACGACGACAGCGACTTGGAGGCGTTCTCGATTGACGACTACTTTACTCTTCCTACTACTATTGCAGCATCTGCTACTGCTGCTACTGCCAATGCCGCTGCCGCTGGCTCATTGCCTTCCCCTATCGCTTCTCCAACCTCTCCTGTTTACAGAACATCCTCCTTCAGAGATATCCACGAAGCTCCCCCCTCCCGTAGAGGCACTGCTATTGCTCCAAATCATCCAGAGTATGCTGTTAGACGCCAATCCACTCTCCAAAAAGTGGACACTATTCGAAAACATGCCTCTATGATGCATCCACTTGCTCTTGTTCAGGAATTAGATGGTGTCATGCGGGAACTGGATGAATTCGGTGGTGCCCTTGCGTTGGAAGAAGAAGAAGAAGAAGAGGAGGAGGAGGAAGATGAGGAGAATCTTGTTAATAATGATAGCCGACAAGTTAACGACGAAGAAGAAGATGCTGAAATTGCAAGAGTGAGACTTGGGAATGGATGGGATATTGATGATACCGATACTGTAAGTGGAAGAGTCCAAAGTGTGTGGTCAAAGCGAGCTGTTGCTGTTTGATTTTGCGACAGATGACGTATGAGCGGAGCGAACTATTGGAATGAATTAGACAAAAGAGTGAGCTGCGTATGGAGGCTTGTGAACGAAGTTAACTCCTCTTAAAAAGGTTTATCCCTTACTAATACAAATATTTAGAACTATGACCTTACACTGGAAAGAAATCCTCGAAGTAGAACTCCAGATAGTATACTAGATCTTCTGACCAATTCATCTGTGCATCATCCTGTTCACTTGGTTCGGCACTTGGACCGATCAAGTCTGTACACTTTCTCGGAATTTGACCCCGAGCCTGAAGAAGCAGCAGAAATGGAAGCATCTATTCGGCGAGAACAAGAAGAGGAAGCGGCAGCTAATGCCTTTCGAAACACAAAAACTCTCGAACTCACTAAAAGCAGTTCTCGTGATGCAAGGTATGCCGCTCTGGCTCACCCTGGCAACGCGGCTCTTTCTTCAATTGACGATGAAACCAAGAAAAAGCGAAATGGAATTTCGGTGTTTCCAGTCGACAGGCGCGGTAGTACCGGCAGCGATACAAGTGACTTCAGCATCACTGTGGAACCTCCAACCCTAAATCGTCCGCCTGGATCAAAAGTGCCTCCTCCATTTCCTCCTATTCCTCTCAATGTCCCTCAGTCTCCTCCAACGTTTTTACAACGAACTGCAAATCTGGTCCGCTCAAACACGACCGCCACATCGAGTGCTCAATCTGTAGAACCATCGCCCTTGCCGATAACTTCCCACAGCTTGTACAGCCCTCCGCGTTCAACATCTATTACCCCAGTACCTCCCACCAGCAATTCAAAACCAAACTCTATTCTTATGCAATCCGATGACGATAGTGCGATTTCAGGTCCATTAAAATTACATACTAATCGACTGTTCCGACCCTGGCAAGACATTGTCCTTGTCCTCTCTCCCGAGAAACGCGGCCTCTATTACGTAAAGACTGGGAAAGGCACAGGAAAGACGGAACAAGTCGTTGGGTTCATTGAAGTCACTGCGCGAACGGAAATAGGTCCAGCGGGTCCTGAGTTCCGAAACAAGAATGCGTTCCGCGTTGTCAAGGTGGTGGAGTCTGAGCGTGGTCGTGGTGTTGTCCAGAAAGAATACTTTCACTTTGCGTGCGAGAGTGCAGAGGAGTGTGAGCGTTGGATTCGGACAGTTAAGGGGTTTATTGAAGGGTTGAAAAGAGATATTGAGGTTGTTAGGCCTTCATCTCCTAGTATTTCATCTATTCAGAATTCGGTGAGTTTGCTTTGTTTTTTTAACTTCAATCATGTTGTTTTCTGATACAAGTTATGTTAAAGGATGGTCCTGCACTCCAAGTTTCCACAGTAACCCATCTCTCAACAACGGCCAACAGCAAATACCACTTCCGTCACCAAGCCAAATGTCACAAGAAGAACTTGCGATTCAGCTCCAAAAACAACAGCGCCTTCTTGCCCAACAAAAGGCGTTAATGGCTGCGGTTGCCGCACAATTGCAACTTCAACAAGAAATCACAGCAGAACTTCAAGCAGCGCAAATCCAACAACAAAAGCGTTTATCCGCTGTTAGTGGTGGTGCAGCAAGTGCTGGCCTGGCCATGTCCCGTT